TGGATTTTTATGCATGTCTGCACTATTCTTTGTTTTTTTTGTTCTATAAAAAATAAATGTCATAAATACAATATTGTTACCTTTGTATAAAAGTTGCATTTTCTTTACCCAACTCGTATTTTGAGAGTTTATAATAAAAGCATCTGCAATCATTTTCTTTGTGTAATTTTAAATTGCATTATTGGTTAGTGGCAAAAAAGCTATCAAATCACTTCTCGTATTCTTGAAATATTATTATATAAAATGATTGTTTCCTTGAACAGCCTAAATATCAGGGTTGGTAAATTGGTACTCTTTCAGATAATTTGTAAATGCCTAATTTTAGCTTATACCGTGTAAATTTTATTACTGACCTACATTTAAATGCATGTGAGGGTTATTTCTTTGGATAAACCATATATTTAAAAGTGGAAAATCTTTCGAAATCAATTAAGGGTCAGTGTCGTATAGTGAGACTTCCCCATAGTGAGATTTCCCCGGAAGACTGGCTATATAGTGAGATATACCCCGGAAAGGCTGGCTATATAGTGAGACTTCCACCCGGAAGATCGACTGGCAATAGAGTGAGACTATATAGGCAGTCTTTCCCCCCTTTCATAGTGAGACTTCCCCTCAGATGTAGTTTCCGGAATATTTTATTTCATTGTAAAACAATATTTTTCAGTATATCAATAAAAGTTCTCCGTTAATTAATAGTTAAAACATCTTAATAGCCTTTTAACAGTTTGTTAGCCAAAAATAATTATGGGATGACATGTACATGTATATTGATGTGAGATAACTGAATGAAAAATATAAGTTATTGTTACAAGTATACATCTTTCTTTACTATATTGTATTTATTGCATTCCCCATGAAGGTTAACATAAGCAAATTCCAAGAGTCCACGAGTAATGATCTATTAAATGTTAAATGTATTTCTTTTGATAAGAATCATTTTGGAACAATTCAATTATTTACTGTGCACGATAAATTTTTTAATGCGCACTTCTATATTTATTCATACAGGTATCTATTTTATAAGATCATTATCAAAATGCAAATATATATACATCGTCGATGTAAATAAAATACCACTGAACGTGGAAGGGGGAAGCCTCAGTATGATCGTTTAGGGGGGAAGGCTCACTATATAGTAATCCCCCCCCCCCACACACCGGGGAGTCTTACCGCTATATATAGCCGTATTTCCGGGGGGAAGTCTCACTATGGGGGTGGGAGTCTCACTATATGACACCGGACTAATTCAAGTTAGCGCTTTAAACTTCTTGGCTGTTGTCCGAGTAAGCTGCTGTGATGTAAAGTCAATAGGAACGCTAAGGTTTTACCCATCCTCTTGTATAACAATTGTTTACAAATTTTACGAATACTGCTCAGTGGTTACATTTTTTAAACACATATACAAAAAATATTTGAAATTACTGTTGCAAATGTTTACTGAAAGGCAGCTTGCCTCTACCTTCCCCACATTTTTTTGTTGCAGCATATTCATACTCCCTCCCCCCCCCCCCCCAATGTGTTTTCGAGAGAGTCAAACAGTTTAAATCTTCCCTCCCATCCACGAAATAAGAATTTCGAGTTTGAACACCCCCTTTTTTTTCCTAGTGAAAGATTATTCAGGTAAATTGTAATTTTTTCTGACTACCCCCCCTTTTTTTAAAAAAAAAAAGTTCTTGTGCTTGTTATCGCTGAAGAAAAAATGTTACATTCCACTGTTTATTCTGTGCCCCCCCCCTTTTTTGAAAAAAAAGTTCTTCTGTCTGTAATAGCTGAGGAAAAAAATGTTACATTCCACTGTTTATTCTGTGCCCCCCCCCCTTTTTGAAAAAAAGTTCTTCTGCTTGTAATCGCTGAGGAAAAAATGTTACATTCCACTGTTTATTCTGTGCCCCCCCTTTTTTGAAAAAAAGTTCATCTGTCTGTAATAGCTGAGGAAAAAAATGTTACATTCCACTGTTTATTCTGTGCCCCCCCCCCTTTTGAAAAAAAGTTCTTCTGTCTGTAATAGCTGAGGAAAAAAATGTTTCATTCCACTGTTTATTCTGTGACATTAATGAAGCCAAAGAGATGACATTTCAGGCTTTCTGGAAAGCCAAACTTGTAAATTATTCGAATCGTCTAAGCTCTGCATAAATAAATGCCTCGAAAACCAAGCAGATTAAGATTTTGGACATGCGCAGAGACAAGGACAGGATCAGTCTGTATATCTGAAAGACAAAATTGAATTTAAATTAATTCTTTCCATAGCTCATTTTCTTCCTTTTTTGTAACAATTTTTCTCAGTGATTTTATCTCAAATAGCCTTTTAGGCAAATATCTTTAAAAATATGAAGGACATCTTTCGGACACTGTACTCGTACATGTACGTCACTTTGATGACAAGCAGTATTGAGGTCAATGTTGTGAGGTGAATAATTATTTCCGGTTCTCTAACATGCTTGAATTCTAATTCTATGTTTCATTACAAGAAATAAAGTGCTGTTTTGCAATTTAAAAAAAAAATTAATTAATGGAGTCTTAATTTTAAACATAACATTTACAAGTGTAATTTAAGTTTAAATTAAGAATTGAAACAATCCTTTTTTACTACTCTAGAAAATTTCAAAACTGTTCTACATGTAAACAGTTATCAGATTTGCTTAACTACAAGAGCCTCTAAACACAATTCCAAAAAGTTTGAAAAAGTACAATCTCGACTGCCGCTAGAAGCGTCCCCAGAGTTTAGAGAACCCTAAACTATGAAACTGGTTAGGAAACAACTTAAAATAAAAAGAGGCCGTACCGCAAAACTTTAACTGGGGAGGTTTATTTCGAGTATTTCCACAAAAAATGATAAAAATGGGGGATATAATATTTATCTCAAAATAGTAATTATGTGAAATACAATAAAAGGCTTCAGGGGAACTAGTAAGTTATAAGAATCTGTTTCTAAACCATTTTATCTAAAATGCAATAACATACACGTATATTTAAAACCTTCACTAAGTTAGGGGGTGGGGAGGGGTGAGGAAAGGGGTTGGGGACAGCACTCAGCACTCTATGGTATAAAAGTTAGGTCAGTGGGTTAGCGAAGGGTTAACCCCTTGGAGTGAATATTTGTGAAATTGGCCTATTCTACTTAAATTTGGCAACAGATCAAACGAATAGGTGACCTAGTGACCAGATATACATATATCACAGACGACCATGAAACTATATGCTTGTAGACAGTAAACTATAAACACATAACCCCGGGTATAAAGTATAATTTTTTGCTAAAATTAGATTAATTTATCTATATTTGGAAACAGATCAAAAGACTGGGTGGCCAGTTGACCTAGTTAGAGTTTATAAGAAATGCGGAATAAGCTTTCGCCAGTCATCTGAATGGGTCAGTGTCGGTACATCAGACCCCGGGGTAAAGGGAGATCAACATCAGTAAATCTGGGCCTCTGATGTTCAATTTTCCAATAATTGTTGTTAATGCTGATGGGAGAAACTGATTAGTAGACAAAACCGCGCCACTGACCGTGAAAAAAGTGTCGACGAAGCATGAATGAGGCCGAATAAAAAGTCACGTTGGAAACCACGAGGTTTTTTTTTCTTTCTTTTTTTGTTAATCACAATAGTTTGAAGATTAATTATGGTTTAATAAAACATATTGTAGAAGTATATTTTAGAGCAAAGAGTTGAACATGCGATCGCATCCCTTGTAACAAATAACTTAAAAATATTTCATAATGATTTTGGAACGAAATAATTATTTATCTGAATGTATGCTTCTAAATTTTGTTATTTAATATTTGAAAATAATAATTTCAAGAATAAAAAATGGAACCCACTTTTGAAAAGAAAAAAAAATTCAGGCTGAGAGGAGGAGTACGTCTCTCAGACCCCCCCCCCCCGGCTCTTCCAGAAACCTTGCGATGCCCCCCCCCAACAAACCCCTTTCCCGCCCCTGTTATAATAAAGTTTCAATGTTATTTATATAAGCATGTTTTCATAGCTTCATTACCCTACATATTTTGTTTCACATTTACTTTTGAATTGCAGATAGAAGAGAGATAAAAGCAAGGACGCAGTTGGTCGTTTCATACTTAATTAGTAAAACTTCATAATACATGTACTTAACTTGAACACAAATGAAACCATAAACAGAGATGTCAAAGAACAGATTAGTACATTCACATGTAGGAATACACCCCGAAGCTCAAACAGGACAAACAATTCTATTTGTTCACATGTTATTTAATGAATTCAAAATATTTAAAAGTCATCGCATAGTCCCACGACTGAGTTAACTCGGAAAGGATTCCAAACAAAGTTGACAATATAACATGTCAGCTGATCTGATCTGAAGGTCATTTACTATACTTAACAACTGTGAAGACAGTATCAATGATTTTTCACAAAGTATACTCGAAGTAATTTTGTTCATGATCCCTATAAGTGATATTGTGATATTGTTGGACAAAGAGGTAAAGAATTTGACCTTTTTGCTCTTAGATTTAATTTCAGTTATTTCCCTTTTACCATTGCTGTTAGTACAACAGTATTACAACAATAAGTTATGTAAAGTATAGAATAACTTTAATAAAAATTATATCATCAACCCCTTTTTCATCCCATGCGTAAAGGCTACTATTCTATTGTAGAACGTATCTAGAACCCATTACAAATTTGATTTTTTACAGTTACCCAACCTATCCCAATTGTATAAACCGACCAAATGTTTAGTACTTTTTTCGTAGTAAAATCCGGATATTGCATGCGTTCCTTCAAACGTAATGGTTAATAGATCTTAAGGCCCCTCTTAAGGATGGATTCTTGTCAGCATTTTACGCCGTGAATGGGTCTCCATACATTATGCAAGTCGTAAAATGTCAATTTCATATTTGAATCCTCCAAAGTAAATACTTATGATTATCTTATTTTTTAAGCAATATATAAGATTTTATTTAATCACATTAATAAATATATACTCAATTTTCTTTGTTTTGCGACAAACAGTCGCAAATGGTAAACACCGCTGTCAACTATGGAACAATCCCGTAGAAAGGGGCGTTTCATAAAGTCTACCAAGTTTAAACATTATAAAAGCGTCACAGAAGCACAGAGACAGCGGTGGCAAAAAGAAGATTTGATTCTGCATCACAGTTATTCTTATTCTGAGAATTCCGATAGCGATAGGCCAAAGGAAAACACCTGTGATACTGTGTGCAGTACAGTTGACGGCGCATCTTTACCTGACGTCGCTTCGTTTGATGTTGTATGCAGTGAGCATGTAAGTTATGTCTGAGAATTTTTATCATTTTGAAATTGAATAACTTGTTTTTTTTTTTATTTTTATAGACTTTGCATGCAAAGAAAAATGTTTTAATACCATCGTCTGCTTATTCCCGCGACTTGTCAAAATCTGAAAATCTGTACAGTGTAAGTGTTGTAGACGATGTATTATTTCCGTGTATATACAGTAACATAGGCCTAATACAAGTCAGTTTATGGATAATACTGAACAAAAAAGTATGAATACTACAATTCTTCTTCTAAATTAATTTGTTTGAAACTACAATATTCATTTAGTTCAATTTCAGCCAGGCTAAGTTTACCATTATCTATCATTATTTGGAAAAAGTAAGGTGCGTTGTAAGGGTAAAAAATCAAACGGAATGTGGAAAAATGAGTAAATTCAAAATAGTAATAGTTGACTTGATAAGTGAACACCAATATTGAATCACAAACAAAGATAAATAATAGTAACAAATAAATAAAAATAAAACATTATATGTTCCCTAACTATGTAAATTTTTATTTATCTTAAGTTTTAAGTGTGTAATTTTTAGAATTAAAAAAAGTTTAATTATTTATGCATTACACTATAAGAATACCGGGTAAATATATATGGTATATCTTCATTGAATAATCAATGAAAAATAGACAAGATTTGTCATGAATTTTTTTAATCAAATTTTTATTAACATGATTAATAAAAAAAAAAAGAGATTATAGATGTTAATGTTTTACATGTTTTAATATAAAAGATTAATTCTTAGGAAAAAAACAATCCTAGACTGGACAAAGACTGGAGGACAGGACGTAGAATTATCGAGCTAGGGGTGCTGGCCGATGGACTTTCAGGGTGTAAGAAGTGTGGTCTACCCCTTCAACTGTCGCATTGCATGGGGATTATTACATTTGGACTTGCAGCTATGCTCAAGATACCATGCATGAATACCCAGTGCCAGTTTATAAATAATGTGCCTACTGGAAAGCGACACAATAAAGTCTGGGATGCTAACAGCAAGCTAGCGGCAGGTTATTTGTTATTTATTGATAAATCTGGAATTTAATCATAGTGAAAATGATAACAATGACAGATATCTTAGGTTTGTACTTCCTGTTGACCTATATTTAATTCTAAGCAAAGTAAACTTTCATTTGTATGAAATTCTTCTGCAGCTGTCCAACATACTGGCATTGGTTATGATCAAATCAGTGGAATACTTGCTGAATTAAATGTCCCACCAGTCAGTAGAACATTACTGAGTAGCAGACAGGAAGAGGTTGGATCTGCCACAGAGTCAGTTGCAACAGAAACAATTCAGGAAGCTCTTGAACAGGAAGTCTTGACAACATCTATGCAAGTACTAGTAAATTTTGGAGTAAAATGCAGTGCAGTGAGGAACATTATATAGATTAAACATTATTGTGTTAAATGACTAATGTTCTTCTAATGGATGTCAGATTGACATTCATTTTTAGCCTTATTGTGAGACGAAGACTCTAGTGAGCTTTTCTGATCAAGAAGTGTGACTATGACTGTCTGTCTGTCTGTTGTCATACCTTGTTTGTAAACTTTTCTCATTTTCAATTTCTTCTCAAGAACTACTGAGTCATGCAATTTGAACAAAACTTGCCACAAAGCATCCTAGGGTGATGGGGATTCCAGTTTGTTCATATAAAGGCCAATGCTTTTTTCCAGTGGAGAAAATTAAGAAATTATGTAAATTTAATGGCATCTTTGAAAAATCTTCTTCTCAGGAACCACTGTGCCAGAAATGATGAAACTTATGTGAAAGCTCATTACACAGTGAAGATTCATGATTTACCAGTATTCAAATCTTGACCCTTGACCCTAGGGGAGGGGCTACAACAGGGTATCAAAGTTTGTTCAAATCACTGCCCTATGGGGCAAAGTGGGACCATTTATATTTATACATATATTTAAACTTTTCAATACTGAACTGATTTCTGCTTTTTTCTTTCCTAAGTGTTCTGGTGAGCCATGGCCCAGGGGCCTCTTGTCTAAAGAACATTTATTAATAATAATAATTTTTTTAATTTTAAAGGAGCAATCAATCTCCCTCCATTACTGTGAGTGTAGATGGAGCATGGCAGAAGCGAGGAAGTGGGAGGTCATATGACAGCTTAACTGGTAAATTTATTCTAATATACTTGTAGATGTAGAGGGGGGATGAGAATAACCCCATCTTAGCATAATAATTACTAGTATCAGATGCAGACCCAGGATTTTTTTTTTTTTTGGGGGGGGGGGGGGGTCCATAACAGTCAAAGAAAAATTTCCACCCCAAAAATTTCTTGACAAGCACAAAAGAAAAAAAAATCTAAATTGCCTTCCCAAATGTATTAAACCCAGAAAATTTCTTGACAAGCAAAAAAAGGGAAAAGTAGTAAAATCCATTTCCCAAATGTTAAAAACAACTATTTCGTGGTGGTGATGGTGGGGTCCACGTTTTCTAAGGGGGGGGGGTCCAAAATCATTTTTTTTCATTTGCGTCAGTATATACTTTTCACAACTCTGCAAATTCCAGGGAAGGGGGAATCCAGACCTGACCCCCCTCGAGATCTGTGCATGAGTATAAATGTATTTTTTGAAGTGAAAAATATTTAATTAACATCAATAAACATAATTTTATTCTCCAGGTTGTCTGTCACAGAGAGCTTTAATTTTCTTGATTACTAGCTATACACTCACATGTTACAGGACACTGCTCAATGATAGGAAGCCAGACGGGAAAAATTGTGGGTTATAGCTTTAGGAATAAATCCTGTAGAATTTGTGAAAGAGCAGAAAAAAACAACCAAGCCCCTGTTCCACATGGATGCAAAAGGAACTGGACAGGTAATCATAATTCCTGCATCTGTTAAGTACTCCTCAGATTATCAGTCTCCCTGCAAAGGTTGTGGGGAATATATAGAAAACAATTATTTTTTGTAACATAGTATTAGTATTTATCAACACTTTCTTAAAACATTTTTATACCCCTGCTCTGAAGGAGAGGGGGGTATACTGTTTTACCCTTGTATGTCTGTCTGTGTGTCCGTGTGTCTGTCCGTAACAAATTATCGTCACAGTTTTTCCAGCAACTACTCATTGCAGATGCTTGAAATTTTAGCACACTCTTTCTTTAGGCATGCCAAATGGTGGGATTCATTTTTGTACGAATTCAGTGTCAACATGAGAGGGTCCGGTATATTCACATCAGAGCAGGGGTATTACTAGTGAGCACTTGCTCGCAGACTTCTTTTTTGTTACTTCATCTACGATAAGGCAATATATTTGTCTTTAATTATCTATGTCTGACCATAAATGGTCATCTTGTTTTAATGTCATAGGTCCAAGGTCAATCTTATATGAGTTTGCCCCATATGGAGTATGATCTTAAAGAATAACTTTGGAATAAATAGTGTATTTTAAAAGAATAGCTTGCTTGGGAAGTCAATGATTAATAGTTCACACAATTTTTACAGGTAGCTCTAAGTCTATGGAATCCGACATGGTGGTGGAGATGGTTAAATCAACAATAAAGAAGGGAATTAAAGTAGAGGCACTAGTTGGGGATGACGACACAACTACTATGTCAAGAATTCACAGAGAGATAGACCCTAGCATTAAAAAACACTCTGACAAAAATCATATCAAAAAGAATATATCAAATTCACTCTATAATCTGCAAAAGAAACATAACAATTTATCATCAAAAGTTATAAAATACATTCAAAAGTCTTTTAACTATATGATCTCTCAAAACCAGGGAAACCCCACTGGGATCGAGAAAGGCCTTGATGCCCTGGCCCTTCACCCATTCAATGACCATAGCCAGTGCAGCGAAGTATGGTGCCACCACAAAAGAAATTTGAAGAAAAAGTACAATTCACTACCGTATGGCCGTCCTCTAGAAAGTGAGAACCTAAAACAAGATCTTTTGGGCATTTTCAACAGACTGAAGAAGCATACCACCAACCTTGCTAATCTGGGAAGCACACAAGCAAACGAAAGTTTCAACAAGACTGTGGCTTCCAAGGCACCCAAATCCCGCCTCTTCAGTCGTACCATTGGCTACAGAGTGGCAGCTAGTGTAGCCCAGAAAAACATAGGGCAAAGCTATTTGGTTGAGGTACACTTTATAACTCAAATATATTTAAATTTCATCCTATTTGATAGATTTGATGACTCATTTTGTCCTCTGCAACACAGAGTAATTTGCTGGTGTAGTCATTCTTACTGTCTGTCATTGTTTTGGGCTATGTTGTTTTATGTTGATCACTTTTTAATCATCATCTGTGAAATAGCTTTCATGTAATGCAACATCTGTTCTATGTGAAATATGTTGTTTTTTTAGCTCTACTGGTCAGAGACCAGAAGAGCTTATGCGATCTTAAGGTGTCTGGCATCCGTCCGTCTGTCTGTCTGTCCATCTGTCTGTAAACAATTCTTTCAAAATGCTACTTCTCCTACAGATTTGGTCTGATTTCAATATAACTTGGCACAGAAGTAGACTACACTAAGATACATAATTTAGTGCATCCGTTTTTGATTTCAATGAACGGTGTTGCCATGGTTACTAAAAATAGAAATTTCTGTGAAATTCCTTTAAAACGCTACTCCTCCTACAGTTTTTATTTGATTCAATTTAACTTGGCACACAAGTAGACTATATTAAGATCCATAATTCTATTTATTGCTGTATGTTGCAAAGTTCAATTCCAAGTGCTACTTTTTTTTGTTACATGTACATGTATATGTACAGACTAGTAGAGCTACAGTCTCATTAGAGACTTCTGGTTTTAAATTTAGGTGAACAAAAGAATGGGATTATCACCAGGAGGACACACCAAAAAATTGGCTGCAAAAAAGGACTCGACTGCTTGTCGGAAAAAAGCACTGTCTTTAACTAAAACAGCGAAGAGGAGGAGATTATTTCTGAAGGCAGAAAGGTGACTAGGTTGAATACCAAGTACTTCAAATGTGTATTAAACTTTTACTATCCTGTTGAAAGTTTTCATTAGATTTGATTTTTACAAATTTTTAGGAAACAAGTGATAGCTTCCAAAGAGACAAGAGAAGGGTCAACCTACTCTAGTGATATTGGTTTGTGTTCTGGTGATGACAATGAGACCATTCCAGCTCCTTTGACCCAGCCCCTGAAACAGCCTCTACAGGTTTCTAAGGAGAATCCTTTGATCTTTTTTGACCTTGAATCAACAGGACTGGGTTTGTGTTTTTTTATTTTGTTCCTTAGGCCACTGTTTTTTATTTTCTTGGTTTACGGATCTACCGACCCTATTTTTCGAGGAATCCAAAAAAAAAAAATGCAAATTTGAGATTTTTTAAAGTCTTCTGACTTTATTAAACAAGCAAAACCAAAAATTAAAATAAAATATGTTATAAATGTTAAAATGATCTTAATGAATTATTAAGAGAGGAAAATTTAATACATATTCCCCTGAAAAGCCTTTTGTACCAGCAGTTCTTAAAATCTTAACAGGAATCAACATAGGATATCATATCCTTGAGCTATAAACAAATTGTTTAAACAGGTAACAAATGCTGTGAATGCATGTATCTTTCTTGTAGACAACAGATATGGTATGTACAGCATCATGAAAAAAGAAGTGTCTGAGTGAAATAAATAATTAAATACTCATAATACAATTAAGTAATTATAATTTTGCTTTCTCACATTGTTTGCTTGCAACTGCATGCATTTCCATCATGAAAACACAATAGCTTCATTTTATTTCTGTTTTTACCTCTCCTGGCCGACCCTAATTTTTATAAAAAAAATCTGTAAACCAGAAATTAAAAAAAACTGTGGCCTTATTTCAAAAAAAAAAAAAACATAGTCAGACAGATCATTTTTTTCCCTTAAGAATTACCAAAAACTTGTATATATTTAAATTTGGCTAAATAAGAGCATAAACACTTGTGTACTGTATATACTCGCCTATAAGTCGGTCCGCATATAAGTCGGTTGTATTTTTTAAGCTTTTATTAAAGGGATAGACCCTCTAAAATACAAGTCATTTTATAACTTGCCTATAAGTCAGACAAAGAGTTTTGGTCCAAAATACAACTCCCAAAAAACCGATTTATAGGCGAGTATATACGGTATATTATGAACAGTTTAAGATTCTTTATTTTCAGCAAGAAATTCTCATATCACACAAATGGCAGCTGTGTTTGAAGAGGAAGTTTTCTCAGAATATGTCACGCCAGAGGTACCTATCACACAAAAAGCTACAGAAGTCACGGGAATTACATTTTCAGCAGGGAAAATGTTTTGTAGAAATGTTGAAGTTAATGCTCTCAAACTCACTGCTGCTGTTGATTCCATTCTGGATTTTTTCTCAAAGTTTCAGTCTAAGGTAGTTTTGATTGGTCACAATGTTAAATCATTTGATTGCCATTTATTTTTAAATGCTGTTGAGGCTTGTGGGAAAACAGATGAGTTTTCAAAATGCATTGCTGGATTTATAGATACAAAGTTACTCTTCAGAATTTTTGACTCAGAATTGAAATCGTACTCACAGAGTGAACTTTTCAAGTACTATCTTTCGTTAGATTACAGTGCTCATAATGCTCTGGATGATGTGAGGGCATTACAGAAACTTGTAAATTCTGTTGGAATTGATGTAACCAGTTCCTTGTATTCAGCTGCTTCTTTTACATTTTCAAATGCTGTTGAAAACTTGAAGTACAGTTCTGAGGTTCATAAAAATGCACCCTCTTTAGAACATTTAGTTAGGGAGAAGATTTTAAGCAAGAGCATGGCCAACAAAATTGCAGGTAGTGGGTTAAACTTTAGGTTTTTGCAAATGGCCTACACTAGAAACCCTCAGGATGGTATTCTGAATTTACTTTCAGAACAAGTATTAGACACTAATCATGTTCGAGTTACGAAGTCTCAAAAAGTAATTTCATGCTTGAACAAGTATTTTGCTTCCAAATGTGAAAGTTAGACTTCTAAAAATTGATACAATTTTCAAAGGATTGTCATTTCTATTGTTTTCACTATATGCAAATATAGACCATATACATCGTAGCACAATATTTGAACCAAAATAAGTGTTATGTAGTACTGAATGATATATTTTGTGCATTAATTTGATTGCCATTGAAGATTTTGAAGTAATTGAATATTAGTTTTTTGCCCTGTCCATCTGTTTGTCTTTCCACAGTCTGTCTGTCCACAAAAACTTTAACCTTGCCCGTAAGTTTTGATTGGTTGGAACTATGGCATTCATATTTCATATGTGTATTTCTTGTGACAAGACTTTCTTTTGGAACCAACATATTTGATCTCTTGTCTTCTCACAAGGAATACACATGTGAAATATGAATGACGGACTGACGGACAACAATACACTGTCCCAAGTCTTCGGTTATGAGGACTAAAAATGTCCAGACAACATAACTTTCTATAATTATATTTTGTAGTGGGTCATAGACTATACTGTCATCTACGAACGAGGGGTATTTACTTATATTTTCTGGGTATCATCTGTCTATGTGGTTGCAGTGAACTACGGAAAGATTGCAAGGGCGGAAATACACTTTCAAACTCTATAGGAACTGGTTGCGCAATTTGAATACAAATAGGGCTATTGACTGCAGCATGCGCTTGCATGGATTTGGTGCTTTAGATATATCAATCCTCATCTTGCAAGAACTTAAATCATATTAATCAGGCAATGCTTTAAAAATCATTACAGAAATTTAAAATCGGACATATCAGAAAATCTACATGGGGCACAAGATTTTGCCAGTGATCGAAGGCCCAGATGAGTTATCCATTAGCGATAAGGTTTAATTCAGGAAATTGACAACAGAGAAGTATGTCTTCATCTTCCTAATGTCCCCCATCTTCAAACTGTCAGTTTCTCGGATTGAAGGTCTTTGCTCTTAAATACAGAGCAGTTTGTGAATAAGCTAGAGAGCATTTGGTTTTTCCTGCGGATTCGCCTTTCAAAGAGACTTAAACTTTCACTATAAGTTGCCATATAAGCCGGGGCATCAGTGTTTCACATACATATCTTGTTTACAATATATATACATGTAGGATCATACTGAGAAGAGAGTTTAATTTCAGGTGCTGAACAATATACTGTATATACTTATTATAAAATTGCATATATTAAGTATGTTTTTATAAATGTAAAAACTTTAAGTATGTTCAAATGTTATGTAGATGTATGTTATGTTTCTACACTTAGAATATATAAGTTATGATTTTTCTAAGAAGTATTGAAAGCTAGGTTTATTAAATCTAGTTATTGTTATTCCTTGATATATGTAACTCACTGTTTAATGTTACCTTCCTTTGAATAAGACTTAATTTTTCATGTAAAGAATGTAAGAGAATTTTTTCAATAATTTCCACCTAAAAGTTTATTTTTACATATAAATAGCTTTGTAATCTTAAATTATTTGGCAGAGGAAATTCAGAATGACTGTGTAAATATGTTGTGTAAAATACCTATGAAATAAATATTTATTTATAAGTATTATGAATGAAGGTATGTGTGTCTTAATTATAACCTCAAATTGTTATCTTTTTGTGGTTAATTTTTTAGGGGGGATAATAGAAAATATTCTGTATATTTATGATTTTAGAAAATGTAGAGAAAATTCGGGCTAATTTTTTTCACTAATTAGTCCGATTACCTAATCATTTTTACCTTGTAAATTAATCTTGAACCTTTGATGAATCAGCAGAAAGAAATTTAAATATTTGACATTATATGGTCAATTGTAAAAATTGAGATGAAATTTCATGTGAATTCATGAAAACTGGGAAATTTGAAAAAATACCGAGGAAATTCGGATTAAATATATCAATTGAATATTTAAGGATTTCATGTTTTCTTTTCACCAACTAATTTCATGTTAATTAGTGATCAATAGTAAGTTACAACTTTAACTTTATGGAGCAAGATATTTTTTCAGTCAGCAGAATTTACTCATATGCATAAATTTGAAAACTTCTCTGTGTAAAAGTGCTATTTTGAGGACTGACTTTCAAATGACCTTGACTGAAAATCAAGGCCGATGACACCAAACTTTTAGGATGTTAAAATAGTGTACACAGTCTGAATATTAAGTATTCAGAAAATCAAGATTCTGCCATTATAAGAAATATGAGAAGAATCCATCCTTAAACAAGTTTTAGCTCACCTGAGCGGAAAGCTCAGGTAGCCTTTCTGAAAACATTTTTTTCCGGCGTCCGTCTAGCTGTCCGTTTTCGACTCCTTCTCAAGAACCATGGGTCCTTTTTCAACCAAACATGCCAAAAATCATTTTAGGATGAATGGGATTTATTTTGTACCCACCATAATTAATAATGTAAGCTTACCAGTTCGTTGACTCAAATCGCGAGATTCGCACTCGTAAAGAACTCGGAACTTGTTAATTGTGCTCATTAAGTAAGTATTGTTCATTTTCCCTCTTTTTTTGTACTCTGTATCCTCCTTAAAAACTAGTTTAAAATACATGTCTTTGTAAAAGTTGAAATATAAAACCATTGTTACATTTCATGATTTGTACCTTGATCTCTAATGGAGAGAACTAATATAGGCCACTTTTGCCTGCTGTTCCATGTTCATTGTATGTACTTCTATGTACATCGTGAATTCTTAAACGTGCTTCTTAAACTAAAATAACTGTAAAAACATTTTACAAAGTTGATAATTGAAGGTGAAACGACCCTCTAATAAACAGATAGCTTCCCAATACCTTTAAATGTTGTTTTCTTTGTCTTACCAGAGTTTAGTAATGGAGACCATTATACACGTGTCCAGTCAGAGACGGGGTTCTTTCAAATCAATAGCAGATGTAGCTGCTGCAGCTCTCTGGTTGAGAAAATTCGGACAAACAAACCAGAGAGCTACAGATTCAAGCAATGTAAAAACCTTCGATTTACACCGCCCGTTTCGGGTATTATTTCTTGTATTACATTGTTCCCTCGCTTAAAGCATGGTATCCATTAATTAATCATATATTTTACTCCTATTCCTGATACTTATATACCATTCAGGGCGTTTATTCTGGCAAAACTTCAACAAGGATGTCGGATTGTGAATTTTTAAAGCTAACATTCCAAGGCCATATACAATAGGGCTGTTTGGAACTGTTGACAGGTAAATAAAGTATCAGGAATAGAAGTAAAATATATCATTCATTAATTAAAGGTTATCATCCTTCAAGCGGGAAAACGCATATTATACAAGAAACAATGCCCAACGCCAGCGACAAAAAAAAAAAAAAAACATCGCCGTAAACATGGTAAATCAAAGGTTTTTACAATGCTTGGATCTGTAGCTCTCTGGTTTGTTTGTCCAAATTTTCTCAACCGGAGAGCTACAGTTTCTGCAGCTTTATAAGACGCAAACATTGACTTCTATTTACCTTTGCCAATGTATGGGATTTACAAAGTCAGCTGCACTGTCTTTTGTAGTGAAACAAGCTTATCATATAAAAAGATAGGTGTGCTAGCGCTGTAGCCAAGTAGATAAACCTAAACAACTTTAATTTGCTGAGTCGATTAATTATTAATACGAAGACACATTGCATGGTGCACGGGGGTGGTGCTGGAGGACGGGGTCTCAATTCAGAATAGTGAATCTAGAGTGGACTCCAAGTCGCAAATGACATAACTGCGCTGTAACAATTTGTAGTTTCCTGTACTTTCAATTTTGAGGTGAAAAATATAATTATTCAAGAGACCAATAGAACCAATGAGCATTCCAGTTGTAGCAATTGCATCTTCTCGGGCTTTTCCAGCAGGCTCGGAAAACATATCCGAGGTTGTCTTTCCGAGCTTGTCGGAAAGATCCGGACTTCAAAATAGTTAAAAAAAAAGCTAGTTTTTTTTATTATAATGTTATAAAGCTTGTAGGTCAAGTAAGAACTGGGAAGATTATAGAGTTCAAAGATATTATGTTACAAAATTAAAAAATAAATCAGTAAATAATTACTTTCTTGAAAGATGTAGAGGAGGTCCGAAATGAAAAGACTTCTGGCCTACTATTAAGCCTTTCTTAACAAATAAAGGCAGCTGTGCGCAGAAAGATACAGTATTGTTAGAAAATGATGTTTTAGAAACTGACCAATCCAAAATAACAGAAATTTTTAATGATTTCTTTGTTAATGTGGCCAAAAACATAAGGAATTCAAATATAAGCATTGATGATAATCACCCAAGTGTTAAGGCAACAAAGGACAACTTACCCCAACTCTGTGATCAATCTTTTCAATTTAAATCTATAGATGAGGAATTTATATGTAAACAAATTAGTAAGATCAATGTCAGAAAAGCTACAGGCATAGGTGGGATTTCCCTAAAGATACTGCATTACGCGAAGCCTGTTATTACCAGACCCTTGACCAAACTTGTAAATATGTCGTTGTCATCCTCAGTTTTTCCAGATTCTCTAAAGATGGCACAGATAGTCCCTATTCACAAGAAGAACAGTGTACTAGATAAGGGAAACTACAGACCAGTTAGCGTCTGTGACGGTACATTTTGTCGTTTTGTACATATTGTCGTCGGAGACAATGTGTACCTACCCTCACTGCACATATTATCGTCCATCGGTACATATTGTCGCCGACTTAAAAGTTACATATGTACATATTGTCGCTGGCGACAATATTTGCCTCACCCTCACTGTACATATTGTCGCCCCACAGATATTGTTGTTTAAAGATGTCTTTTGTTGTTTTTTGGTAGTTTTGTGAATGTAATTGGTGTGAGAATCACACTAACGTGTCTCATATGCTATTTCATGCAGCGTGATTGTGACGGCACATTTTGTCGTCTAGTTCATATTGTCGCCGGCGACAATGTGTGCCTTTCCTCATAGTGCATATTGTCGTCCATCAGTGTTATTGTATATGTTAAGTTAATTTTTTAATTATGAAATTTTACCTGTGGACTAAGCATATACAAGTTAAACGAATTACCAAAGCAAAAAAAAAAAAAAAAAAAAATCAAACCACCAAGCAAAGGGGGGGGGGGGCTACATCTGTCTTTGGTGTTTGAGAAGATTTTTTAAAGATTTTCTGTATATATTCCTATGTAAAACTTTGATCACCCATTGTGTCCCCACATTACCCCTGGGGTCATGTCTTGAACAAAATTGATTTTTGTTTTTGTTTGTTTATTTGTTGTTAAAATGTCCCTCTCAAGAATTGTTCATTCATATTGAGACGTCACCATTTACCGGTGGAGGGCTGCAAATTTAGACCTAATCTTGGCACCCAGGATCATTGAGCAGTGAGGGATCTGTTTTGTGCCAGCACTTCAAAATTGAACGTACGCTGTGAAGCTTTCACATAAGTATCATCTCTTCTGACCCAGTAGTTCTTGAAAAGAAGATTTTGAAAGATTTTTTTTTCTAAATATTCTATGGAAAACTTAGATCATCTATTGTAGCCACACCTATCCCCCGAGGGACATGATATGAATAAAACTGAATCTACACATTCTAATGAAGCTTTCACACATGTTTGAACTTTTCAGACACAGTGGTTGTTAAGAAGATTAGTAGAAGTCACTAAATTTTTACTTATTCTTAACTACTTCCCTCTACTTCCCTTGAAAGAAGTTATGGCCCTTCATTTGAACAAACTTGAATCCCCTTTATCCACGGATACAAGTGTGGCAAGTTTGGTTGAAATTGACCCAGTAGTTCTTGAGAAGAAGCTGAAATTATGAATAGTTTACAGACAGACGGACGGTCAGACAAAATGTGATCAGTAAGCTCACTGGGACTTCCAGTTCAGGTGATCTAAAAATGTTATTTTTGCCTTATTTGTAATGTTTATGAACATTCTATTTATATTTCTATATTTATTTTTCTAAATTATTTATTTATTTCACAGTTAGAGTTATCTTTCTTAATCAAATAGTTATCTGTCCTATAATTTATAGAGTTATCTTTTTATTTGTAATCCAGAGTTACTTTTCCTAAATTCCTCACTTCCTGTGTTAATTTCCTTTGTGTGGCCCACACTAGGAGACTCTTCTGTTTAATTTCTGACTTATGCTGCCACACACTGTAAGTATACCTGTACTGTTTATATTTATTACGCGTATATTTATTATATTTATACTGTTTTTGAATGAAATGTTTGTAATTTGAATATATTAGGAATATCTATTGTTATCACTCTAAA